TATCATAGCCAACAAATGTCTTCGGAAACTCCTTTTCCTCGATTTACTGAAACCTATATGTAAAACGCATTTGCAGCTGCACAGCCGTATATATCTATGCTGCATATACAGACATCCCAACCTACAAGAATTCATTTCAGGGAGGTATATCTCAATGAATGTAATGTTAGGGGGGGGGGGGGGTAATATATGTTATATTAACATATTTAAAATATCTTTAAAATAAATATAAAATACAAATAGTAATATGTTATATTAACATATTTTATATTTAATAAATATTACATATTAAATAATATTATGTATATTATATATTAGATTTACATAAATATTAACAAATGATTGTTTTAATTATGGAATTCTCCATAATTAACTCCTAAACTTCAGTAGAGAACAATTCTTTGTAAGGAAGGAGGGGTTTCTTTATTGTACATTTATTTGCATGTAGTATGTAGCATATGGTTTGCGTTGCTTTAAATTGCTCAGTACAGCGCTGACTATTGAGTGTCGCTAGGAAACACGTCCGCGCTGCGCTGACGAATCGGCTGCGCGGCTCGGATCATTGAACCGTGCAGATGACATGTCTGCGCGGCACGAGCTCTGTAAAGCCCCGCTGTCTCGTCCCACTTTTGGTTTGTTTGGCTTCCCATATCTCTGCCGTGCACACGCCGCACGCTATGTATGTTATACGCGCAGTATCTCGCTCTAGATTCCGGGAGATTTTAACTCATTTGCGGGCATCAGGGAGACGCTATCAATATGCGTGAGACTCCCGGAACTTATGTTTGGCACGGTTTGAATTGAGCAGCGTAAAGGCACAGATGCCGATATATTGATGCTGACGTCATATATATTTTAATTAACTGTATTGCTGTTTGTTTATTATATGTTCAAGTCATTGTCGAGTCTTCCACTTCAAGTCAAGTCAAGTCTCAAGTAACTTGTTCTCAAGTCAAAGTCAAGTCAAGTCATTTTTGTACTTTAATCAAGCAAGTCACAAGTCCTGAAAATTGTGACTCGAGTCAGACTCGAGTCAAGTCATGTGACTCGAGTCCCCCACCTCTGGGAGAAATAAACGAATAGTTGAAATAAAGTTGTTATTTTTGTTGTTTTTTTGCACACAAAAGTGTTCTCGTCGTTTGATAAAGTTAAGATTGAGCCACTGTAGTCACTTGGACTATTTTAACGATGTCTTTAATGACTTTTCTATGCCATCAAGAGTCATTCCCTCAAGAAGCCTATGGACTGTATGCAGGAGCGATCTTAATATCTTAATTTGTGTTCCGAAGATGAACGAAGGTCTCACGGGGTTTGGAACAACATGAGGGCGAGTAAATACTGACAGAATTTTCATTTTTGGGTGAACTAACCCTTTAATGTTAAATTCATCAATCTGGTGCACTTTGAGAGTTCAAATTTAAGAGCTCCAACCCATATTCAGTGTGCAAATTGAACAAAGAAAAACTCAAAACTCTTTTAGTTGGGATATAGTGTCTGTCTACATTACATAATACATAATTAATCATAGTTATAATATTAATCACAAGACAGTTATAGCCATATATTGTAAAACACATGCACTGAAAAATAAAAGCAACTTTCATTATTAGCTTAGAACTAATTTATGTAACTTGAAAGAGATATAAAAACATTATCTTTTATTTTGATGGAAACGGCATTCAGCTTTTATTTTGACAAAAAACATGGTTTACAAACGGGTCTTATACTCTCATTATAATTCTAATAAAATGCGTAATTGTCAAATATCTCTAACAAACAGTTCTCTACACTCAATGTCTCTCATGATCCCCCTCACTCCTAATCAGACACTGAAGGCGGTTTCTTTTTTTTTTTTTCACGCCATTTCTCTGCACATTCCTTGTGTTTCTTCTCCATCGCTCTGACTATTTTGACAGATACTCACTGACACTGCACGCTCTCTTAGCCCAGAGGGGGAGGTGATTAAAGATGTGATTGGACTAGCCCAGTGTCAATCAAGAAAATTTTTACCTTATACACTGCAAAAAACAAAAGAAACAAAAAAAAAAAACAAATATAAAAGTAAATTTAAGACTTAGTTATAACATAGATTTTGTGATAGATCTTATTATTTACCAGATTATTTTGTCTGCAACATTTTATGTAAGTCATTAAAAGTCCTGTTACAATTACCGTTTAACAATTAACAATACATTTTTACTCCTGTTAATTTCATATTGGTGTATTTCACCTGGGGTAGTCTTACACCAAAACAAAACAACAGCAATAATGAATTTAATTAAAAATCTAAGAAAATTATGTACATCGAGCCACATTTACACCTGTTATTAACATGAATTTTCATCAATCTGATCACAAGAAATTAAAAAGACAAATGGCTGTTTACACATAGTCACTTTAAACGTGTATGTCACCATGTGTGATTGGATTTCAACCTACTTGAAAGTGTTCGGTTTCTGTCTGTGTTTTGTTCCTTTTTTGTCGGTTCTTATCAGTGTATGGTTTTTCAGCTCATTGTGGTTTTACCAATGTACTTTAAATAAACTGGACTGCTCCATTTAAATACAGCTTTTATTTCATCCTCGTTTGCAATCATCATGGCCGAAAGTAGACAAGATCAAACTCATTCAGATCCTGATTACATCTGTATATCATTGTCCCAATATGATTGTATCTAAAAAAATATAAGTTAATGCCAAGTGTATAGGACCTTGTTTATTTTTTTGAATCAGTGAATATTTACATACATACACATTCAATCACTAGTTTTTGTTGCTGAGAGGTAGACAGTAAAACAACAATATGGTAATCTCTACAATATCCTCGTTTATGTTTAAAAATATAAATAAGTTAAAAGATAGAAAATCATATCATGGTTTTAGCTTTGTTGTGTTCCTAGATCCATTTACCACATCCATGTTTTAGACATTCCAAATATGTATTATCAAGTATTATCAATTGTATAAGTTTTTGTATTTGAGCTAACATATCTGTTTAATACTAACAGTCTGAGTAAGTAACATTAAGCTCTCAAGTGTCTGCTTACTAAAGCAAGATTTATGACATACTCATCATATTTCATTTATTCCCCACCTGCTAAAACAAGGGCTGTCTTAGAAAATGTTAATGTGTTTAAGTATAAACATTGATATATAAACGTGTAAAAATACATGTGGTGTGATTTGACTGTATTGTAAACAGCTCTGCTAAATTACAGAGCTGATTGAAACATATCCCAATGGCTGTGATCGGACGCTTTCTCACTGTGTTTTCAGTCCCTGAGTGGACTGAGCTGCAACCCCCACTACCTGCAGGACATTAGCATCTCTATGGAGAACGGCTTCAAAGGCCAGGCTGTGAAAGTTTACCTTAGACCTAAAAATACATATGCTTAAACAAGTCATCCTATACTTAAAACACTCTGAGGACTCTGCATGTATTTTTTGAGAGATTCAACAAGAGGAACTATTAATATGAGCTTTCGTTTCAGATGTGGTATAAAGGTTTAGTTAAACCAACAAAAATATGAATGCCCATGGTAATCTGCTACATCCCTATAACATCATTTGATTTATAAATGAGCAGATTTTTTATTTATTTATTTTTTTACATTGTGGTAAATTACTTTTTTCTGTCTTTTAAAATCTTTTAAATAGTAAATTAATTGGGGTTATACCAATGTATTGGTGAGTAAACAGTGAACTAGATTAAATATGCATGGAACTCCAAATAAACAACACATGGTCCAGTACTTTCTTAAAGGGATAGTTCACTTTGAAATTAATTTTTGATGTGTTTTATCTTACCTCAAGGGCATTCAAGATGTAGGTGTCTTTGTTTCCACAGTATTTTCAATTTTGACATTTTTCAGTCAAACCGTTGTTGTCTATCAGTCATACACTGGAGGCTAAGGGGGTCCACCAAAAAGCATGCACAGAGAAGTCCAAATTAAACATGATTTAATGACTCGTAAATGTAAGTACACATTGATGGCCTAAGACACGAAATGAGCGGTTTGTGTGAGAAAACCAACAGTATTTATATCGTTTTACCTCTTGTAATCACAGTGATCTGAATCTGTTGTTCAATGTCCAACTGAACCGAACTGAATCAGTTCAATGTTACGCCGGAAGTGATCGCTTGCGTGTGACGTCACTCAATATTTACACAGAGATTTCGGAAGTTTTACCTTTTACTAAACATATTTAGATATCCCGAAATCGTCTTCCATTGCGGTTTGGACTTCTCTGTGCTGCTCTTTGGTGGACCCCCTTCACCTCCAGTGTATGACTGATCAACCCGATCTCACGACCAAGTCGTACGAATTCGACGAATGATTAAAAAGTGGCTAATTCGTAACAATTCATACGACCTCACACGTACGAATTAATACGATTTTGCTAAATCGTACATATTTTACGAATTGGCCAATTCGTATGAATTCGTACGAATGACCTACCCCTGACCCCGCCCCTAAACCTAACCATCACGTGGGTTTAGACAAATCGTAGGAATTAGTACGAGTGAGGTCGTACGAATTAGTACGAATTAGACACTTTTTAATCATGCGTCAAATTCGTACGAATTGGTCGTGAGATAGTGTTGGACTGATAGACAAGAACGGTTTGACCAAAAAATGTCAAAATTGAAAATACTGTGGAAACAAAGACACCTACATCTCGGATGCCCTTGAGGTAAGATAAAACATATCAAAAATTAATTTCAAAGTGAACTATTCCTTTAATGTCGGTAATTTAATGCATTCAGTAATCTGAAGTAACCAATGCTATTATAATACATTAATTAAGTGTATTTATCTTATTCATATGAGCTCATAAAAACACAACCGTTTATAAGTTTATAGTAACTCTTAAAAAACACAACCTCATTGAAAATGGGTAGCACTTTATAAGTTTCCATTTATTAATATTGTTTTTTAACCAAATTAATGAAAATGAACCAACCACTTATTTTTTTACTAACATTAAGTTTTACTAACTTTTTTTTTGTTGTTTAAATAATTTGTTGGTTAGTTAGTAAAGTGAGTAAGGGATGTAGGCTACATCCAGCCGTCTATTATCGCAAAATAAACACTGAGAAGGGTGAATGACCCAGATGTGAAGTAGCCATATAGTAGCAGCTATTCACTAGTGTGAATTGAGTTGTTTTAGTTACAAAAAACAGCAATATCCTTTCATTGACATAGTGCTTAAAACTATTCTTTTGGAATGTGTGGTTAACGATTTACATTCAAGCTAGGTAAATTTGCCTTTACATATGATAATCACAGGTGATTGCAGTTTAGTAACTTCCTGCATGTTTTTATCTCGCTAGACCAGGTGTTAATAGACTACATTAAATGCTTCAATTCACTAGCAGATATACTAGCAGTGAAACAATCAGAGGCAGAATTAAGACAGAAAATCATATTGTTGTTGTAAATAAGCTATTCATCTAAGCGGATTCATTCATCAACTATTTGTAAATAACCTGTTCAGTTGTAACAAGTGTATCGACTGTTTTTGCTTCGGCACTTATTATATTGTCTGCTCTACTCTTCGCAAAAGCTGGAAAAACATTTTGGCCACAACTTAGGGACGTGAAAAGGGCTGTCACTCATTTACTTCACCTTACTTTATAGTTAATTCAACGTTTACATACTGGTGGTTGATGTAAAACGTTAAAAAAGTTAAAGTAAATAGGATTTTTAAAAGTAAAATACTTTTGTTTAGGTTCATTATGTAAAAAACAGGAATTTTACTTTTTAAATGGTTAGTTCTGTGGATATCTTAATAATATGGTATCTGTTTCTCTATGGCATTTTATTTAAAAATCTTTAATCCCAATCAGAGCATTTGAGCAAAGATTGCATTGCGCTCGACCCAATCCAAGCAAACGTTCCACTTGTGTGCCGCTCACACTCACATCTGATCAAATCCCGCTCCTACAGGTTGTTTCTCTGTGCTAGATATATCGTTCTCTTTGTCATAAACTTCTTGATCAAATGTCTTAATTGCAGTTGGCTTATGGATAACAGTTAAGATATTTGTGGATTTAACATCCTTAGCTCTTTAACCTAAAAAATGTATTAATCTTTGTGAGGAGCGCATGTAAGCAACCGGTAATTATGAATATTTTTTAACTGGAAGTTATTACAAGCACTCACTTACGGTTTCTTATTTTGGGACAAAAAAACAACAACACAAAAATAACATAAACATGCACTTCCATTCATCATCTGAGCCACACCAAATAAAAACAAACATACATTAAAAAATACACTGTGGATATTTTGAAAACATCTTAAAAAATTGAATTAGGGACTGACTGGACATGTAAGGGGTGCAATTGTTAGAAATTATTTTTGACAGAATCAAAATGGTTTCAGTAATGGTTTTAGCTTTGTTGTGTTCCTAGATCCATTTACCACATCCATGTTTTAGACATTCCAAATATGTATTATCAAGTATTATCAATTGTATAAGTTTTTGTATTTGAGCTAACATATCTGTTTAATACTAACAGTCTGAGTAAGTAACATTAAGCTCTCAAGTGTCTGCTTACTAAAGCAAGATTTATGACATACTCATCATATTTCATTTATTCCCCACCTGCTAAAACAAGGGCTGTCTTAGAAAATGTTAATGTGTTTAAGTATAAACATTGATATATAAACGTGTAAAAATACATGTGGTGTGATTTGACTGTATTGTAAACAGCTCTGCTAAATTACAGAGCTGATTGAAACATATCCCAATGGCTGTGATCGGACGCTTTCTCACTGTGTTTTCAGTCCCTGAGTGGACTGAGCTGCAACCCCCACTACCTGCAGGACATTAGCATCTCTATGGAGAACGGCTTCAAAGGCCAGGCTGTGAAAGTTTACCTTAGACCTAAAAATACACATGCTTAAACAAGTCATCCTATACTTAAAACACTCTGAGGACTCTGCATGTATTTTTTGAGAGATTCAACAAGAGGAACTATTAATATGAGCTTTCGTTTCAGATGTGGTATAAAGGTTTAGTTAAACCAACAAAAATATGAATGCCCATGGTAATCTGCTACATCCCTATAACATCATTTGATTTATAAATGAGCAGATTTTTTATTTATTTATTTTTTTACATTGTGGTAAATTACTTTTTTCTGTCTTTTAAAATATTTTAAATAGTAAATTAATTGTATATCGCCTACTTTCTTTAAATGCTGCACCATCCCATAGTTTGATATTATTTTTGAACTTTTCCTTTATTAACTTTATCATGTTTTATCTGCCATTGATATAGGTTTGTGTTCTGTGCTCTATTTAAAATGCATGCAAAATAATACTAATTATGAAAAGTACTTTTTCCTGATCCAGTTGATGTTTACAACTGGATTTAAAACTAATTTACCAACAGATTCTACCCTTATGTTAATCTAGCTATTTGATTTCAATCACAAAACATTTGCATAACAGAACCAATAGTAATGTTGGCTAACTGTGGTTTATCCGATGGCCCAATCACTGCTCCGATAGCAGAACGTATATCTCTCTATTCCAGGTTCCTAATTCACACTTCATGTTTGGCATTTGGAAGAGCACAACTTTAGAAGACTTCAACGAGATTGTTTCCTACATTGGAGAGTTATCTTTCTATTATAGTTTAAAGATTTATCTACCTACAAGATCCCAAGATCCTAAGCGCACTGAGCCATTTCTCATCTCACTTTTTTTCTTTCCGAAGTAAAAGGTAAGTTGTACATTCTAACTTCATTTTATGATGATTTGTAAATGCTAACATTATACAATGTTTTTGCATCCTCTTACAATGTAAATGTGCATGCAGATTGGTATTATTGATATTCAGTTTCTTTTTAAAATGATTTTATAAAAATACTTGATATAAAAAGTATAGTAAAAATGTAGTAAATTATCAGCCACATTGTCATCTTTTCAATAAGTTATTGTCTACACAATTCTAAGGAGTTTTTTTTTAGAGTATTTTCTATTTTTTTTTTTATTTTTTTTTATTTTTTTTTTACTTAGCATATGCACTATATCCTGCATAAAATGTTCTTATATTTCACAGGAAAATGAGACCCAAAAGAGTTTCTCCTGAAAAGGAAGCCTTGTACTTCATTGCTTCGGGGAAAGATAAAGACACATTCGAGAAAAAATTAATGTGTGAAGAGAAAGGTAAGTTACGGCATTCAATTCTGCCATCAGTATGACTTTGCAAAACTTAATTAAAAGCTAAGTGAAATAATGTCGAAGGTTAAAATGTGTAGCTAAAAGTTAAAGGCTATTAAATTCAAATAATAAAAATTAAAAATAAGTTTGGTAAATAATGTCAATGTAATTTTAAAATGTGTAGCTAAAAACAACAGGCTGTTAAAAAAAACACAAGAGAAACAAAAAAACATGATTGAATCAGTTAAAGGTGGATTTATATCTGTTTTCCTGCCTGTATTTATGCTAGCTGCTGATGTCCAAATTAAACTCCATTGTGTAGATGTGCGAGTGATCTTGATATTATTTGTATGTAACTGCCAGTTAGACTCCGGGGGCCTGTTTAACAATGGAAATTATCAATATTCAGTGTCATGATACATATGAGTTTTGTAGTTTTGCACTTTTAGATGTAGATATCGTATTTGTTTTCCAAGCAGGGCTACCATTTAAAACAGTTTAGACAACCTTAACAACTTTATGAATCTTTTCTCATACTTAATTTACACTTATTTATACCCAATTTATTAGGTTTTGGAGTAATCGCCACAAAACATATTGAGCCAGGAGAATTCCTACTGGAGTATGTTGGAAGACACATGGCTGGATCTGAAGGAGAGACCCTGCTCAAAGACTACTCAGCTGAAGATGCAGTTTTTTTATATTTCTACTCCTTTCAGGGACAATCTTACTGGTAAGATTAAATTAATGAATGTTCTAATGAAGTATAATTACATCATATTATGGTATGTTTATATACAGTGTTTTTAAAATATTTCACCATACAGTGTTGATGGCAGTAAAGCTACAGAAAATCTCGGACGATACATAAATGATGACCACATCAAGCCAAACAGCAAAATTAAAATAGTAAGTCTGTATTTAATGTTTTCGTATTGTTTGTCTTATTCTTTGTTTTAATTACTCCTTTTATAGAGCCTCATCTTGATTGTAGCATTATTTGACATTACAAACTAGACAGTTGTGGGTCTTTCAAATGTTGTTGTTTTTGTTTTCAAATGTGTGTTTGTGTACTTTTGTGACCAACAGATAATGGATGAAAAGAAAATGCCACATTTGTGTGTATTTGCGTTAACAAAAATCAAGCCAATCATACCAAAGAAAAAATCATACCAAAGCCTATGGACTAGTATGCAGGAGTGATCCAGCTCTCAGATTTCATAAAAAATATCTTAATTTGTGTTCGGAAGATGAATTAATGTCTTACGGGGTTGAACAACATGAGGGTGAGTAAATACTGACAGAATTTTCATTTTTGGGTGAACTAACCCTTTAAATGCTTTGCTTAAGTTGATGAAGACCTCCACTGTGTATTGCTTTATCCTCAGTTGCAGATGTAATTTTTCCTATGAGTTCAATTAATGCCAAAGCAGTTAATCTTTTTTATCTCTAAAGCCATATTGTTTTTCATTAAATAATTTGTGTTTTTCTAAAAAAAAAAATTAATTTTTGAGCAAACAACTTTTCAAGGATTTTAGAAAACCGAGAGAGCAATGACACTGGTCTGTAGTTGTTAAAGTGTAGTTATACATTTCTCCCAGCCCTGCAAATCTGGTCCTCTAGTTATAAAGGAGCCCAAAACCCTTTAAAATCAGCAACAGACCAGTCTGACCAGTTAGACAGTCTATCTCAAACCAATAGACTATCTAGTTTAAGCCCCCCCCCCCTTTCTAATAGATTGATCAGATAGCGCCCCTTTAATCTTTTCTATTTTACCTGTTCATAATCATTTTTGCATGAATTGAAACGCATGATTGTTCATGATTTTCATGCATGATTTAAATTGTATTATATTACATTATTATTATTCATGTATTTAATTTTATTCATGTATTTAAATGTATATATGTAAATGTAATGTGTTTGAAAATACACAATAAACCTTGAGCAGTTAAAGCTTCAATTGTTCTTTTTTCTATTTCCTATAGTGCTACTGTGCAACCTGTAGAATATGTAGAAAATCCATAGAAATATTATTTTAACTGTTAAATAATACTCTATTTCTACGGATTTTCTACATATTCTACAGGTTACACAGTAGCACCAAATAAATACAATAACATTTCATAACTGTATAATACTATACAGTATTATTAAAAATTAACAGTGTAATACTGTACTTTAATATGGTAAGAAATTACAGTAAAATAATGTTATTTGATTTTACAGTATGCTTAACAGTACTGTAGTTAGTGTTAAAGTAATTTTATTGTTGAATGAAATACAGCAAGTACTGGATAATTGTTGCCAGTAAGTTACTGTTAATTTGACAAGACATTTTTTTACAGTGTATTTTATACAGAATATAAAAAAAGGATAAAACATAATGGACAGATGTGTTGGGAAATGGCAGTTGTATTAACAATATGGCATTAAAATATATTTTGAGCCACCAATCCTACTCCTACCCCTAAACCTACCCCTAACAATTCGTTAAAACTACGTAAACTAACGTTACAATTATGAAGAAAAACGTGACTAACAGAAAAGTATAATCACAATAATATATTTATTGCGAAAATGTCAAAACCGCTACCAAAAGCCGTTCACATGAAGATGCTTTGCAGTCGCAGTCCTCTCTGGCAACATTGTAATAGTTTTGTATGAAGTACAGAGCAGAATTTAAATTAATAATCAATGAAAATGTTCATCCGGCTTCAGTTCGCAGCTTCGCACTATTTCAAAAGAACTAAACCAACCGTCACAGTCCTTCATGTCTCAATCTGTGATGAGGCAGGGAAGAGCCAATGACCATTTGATATCTCTGCCGTAAAACACGACGTATCGCTTCTCAAGGGCGCGATTTTTGAATTTGAATTCATCACCAGCGCGGGATTTGACGTGTACGGTTGCTGCTGAGAATGGAGGCGAAGATCACGACTGGATAAAAGGTTGAATTAGGATTTTTTTTCTTGTAAACAACGTAGGCTATGGATTCTAAAGATTTGGATTACATCAAACTAATAAAATTGATGTCTTTTGTGAATTTATGTTTTGTTTTATAGGAGAAAACACTTTCTGTGCCTCACGGCAAATAAACTATATTACAAAATGGTTAAACGAGTAAAGTTAAAGAATGTATTTTTAAGGTTTTATAGTGTATTGTTTAACACCATGCAGGCGAAACGAGCAAAATGTTAATATTTATGAGTATTATATCAATAAATGAGACTGAAAACGTAATGAATAAGACAGTTGAATGCAATAGAGTCAAAACATAATGCTACGATTTTAATATGCATAAATTGTGATATGTACAAATGTGTACATCGGTGGATTTGTTCAAATGTAAATAAATTACGTTTTTGTGCTGTCAATAACGTAAATATTTTACATTTTAGTTCTGTAAATACGTCAGTATTATACGTTTCTGCGCATATAAAACGTAATTATATGTACGTATGATAGAACTACACTTTACGTACAAATGCATACGTATTCTCATGAGATCACATTGGATTTTAGTCGACTAAAATATAATGGGTTTAGTTAAATTGTAATGCGTTAATTTAGAATTTAGAATAGAATAAAATGTACAAACCCATACACTCCCGAAGAAAACATCTATTAACCTATTAATATAAATGATTTAAAAGTCTGAACATGCAATACAGATACGGATTTAACTACTGTGATTTAAAAAATATCTTAAAATTAAATAAAAACCACTTTTCCTAAAGTACAACACAGCCTTTTCAATGGATGATATACAGTATGCATTCTTTATAACCATGCATACATCCTTCTTTATTCTTTCAAGCAGAAATATTCTTTGTGTAAATTAAATATAATTAATCCTTATTATACTAAAGCTATTAACAAACTGTGATTGCTTTTCTCTTTTTCTTTGGTTGCTTGATCAATATTAAGGACACAGACCACATTATGTTTGTTGCCACTTTCACTTTAAGACGTCGGATTATTTCCAATGACATGCGGATCCAATTGCACTGATGCACATCCGATACACTCACAACTGTTTAAGACATAACCGACATAATTTACATGAATACTGTCCAAAGCGGACATTTAAAGCACTCAATAACCTTGCCCCTTCATATTTATTGGACCTTCTTAATATCTATATTCGATCTCGGACTTTAAGATCGTCTTCCTCGCTCACTCTTGTTCTCCCTAGAACCCGCACTACTTCTATGGGGTCCCGGGCTTTTAGTTTTGCAGCTCCTTATTTATGGAACCTGCTGCCACAGGATGTGCGAAACAGTGAAAGTATTCATGTTTTTAAATCTTGCCTTAAGACCCATCTTTTCCGGCAGGCTTTTTATGTTTTATGTGATTTATATATATATATATATAATATATATATGTTGTGTGTGTGTTAGGGCTGGGCAAAAAAAAAATGATTTTTTCGATTAATCGGTTTTTTAAATGTGGCCGATTCAAAATCGATTCTCAACGGCCTCGAATCGATTTTTTCCATATAAAGGCTCGCGGGACGCGGTGCGGCGTCTTCTCGTCTCACTGCACTAGGCAAGCACTAA